AGCTACCACGCAATTCACTGTTTATGGCTGCCTCTACTGGGCCTGGGTGTGCATGAGAGGGGCCAAGGTGAATACAAGAAATCACTCATATTCCAAAACATGTTTCAGCACAGATTCTGGGTTGGAAAAACCTGGATTTGCATGCTAGTTTTTCCACTTAATGAATGATTCAGGGCAAAGTTTTTATCCTTCTAGGAGATTACTGTAGTACTTATTTCACAGAGTTGTAAGGGTTCTGTGCCATAATCCGTGTAAAGAGCTTACAGTAACTAGTACAAAATGCGATCAATAAATTTTACCTGTATATTCAGTGTTCTTAAGGTTCCGATCTTCTATAGCATGATCTGCTCAGGATGTCCTAACAAAATACCAGATTGGATGGCTAGTTTTCTTGCTGTTCTGGAGGCTGCAAGTATAAGGTCAGTGTGTCATCGGGGTTGGTTAATGGTGAAACCTCTTTCTGCCTTATAGCCAGCCATATCTTTGTTGTGTCCTCAAATGGCCTTTTGTTTGTTTTCACATGGAGTGAGAGATCTGTAGTATCTCTTCTTCTTATTATGAGGACACTAGTTCTATTAAATTAGGGAAACGTATCTATGACTTCATTTAATCATAGTTCCCCCTTTAAAGGCCTTATCTTCAAGTACAGTCACATTGGGGGTTAGGGCTTTAACATGGATTTAAGGGGGGACACAATTCAGTTTATGGCACCCTCCTTAACCTGACACTCACAATTCATCTCTCTCTAGTGACGGAAATGTCATGTTTTGCCACAGAAATATTTTATAACAGAAATGCACATCCTCCCTTTCTTTTTTAGTCAAAGCCTATCCAGTTTAAACTTCTCTGAAGATTTCTCTAGTAAAAATAAACAACTCATTTTTCATCTTTGACCCTATGATACTTTTTCAAACCATTAATATAGCTAGAATATTATTTATCAATGTGCATATTTCTTTTACATACAGTTTTGTTAAATCCCATAATCATTGTATGTAATTATTATTAATACGCTTATTTTATTAATTTGGCAAGTGAATCTCAAAGAGGGTATTTATTCAATCAAAATTGAGAACACTAAAACATGTGCTTATTTGTAGATGATGGTACCATTCACTGATTATGAAGCATTAAAGCAGCAGCAGATTTTATGGGAAAAGATGTTTGATTTGACACATACTAAGTTTGAGGTGCATGCAACACATCCAAATGTGCAAATATTACATATTTGTTTAATACAGTCAGTCTTAGGTTGATATACAAGTTGAGCTTTGATCGTCTCATTTTATAATATTAGCACAAGTAAGTGATAGGTGGCAAATAACCTCTTTTATTCTATGTATAAAGAATAGTGCTAAATTATTTCTTTATATACGTGTTCAACATTCTCCTTATTCCCCCTTTACCATGTATTTTAACTTCTATTTTTTAATATCATAGAACTGGACAGGATCTGAAGTGAATGGGGTCTTAAGAGATTATCTAAATTAGTACCCTTCATTTATAGATGAAGACAGCACAATATAGCTAGTTAAGTGACTCATGCAAGGTCACAGTACCCAAATAAGAACTAACATTCATATTTTCTAATTCCAATCAAAAGTCTATTCCATTATACCAGCAATTCCCAAGCAATGTTCTGCAGAACAAAACTGTGTGAGAAGGTCAGTGAGTAAAATAATTCAAATGTGACTTTTAACACTGAGCATATCCACTCTCTTAGAGAGTTACAGGGAACAACTTGTTTACTTCAATCAGCATTTACTGACAGATCCTCTTTTCTACCATATGGATGTGGTTCAAGCACTTTGAAAAATTCCTTTTAACTAGAGCAAAGGATGCTGAAGTCAGAAATAAAAGATAATGCCAGTAGGAAATACTTTGGGAAATGATGCACTCTGCCCTACTTGAGCATGACAATGCTGGGTTTAAAGGGAACCTGGTATGCTTAGTAGAAAAATTACCCCTGCTGAGGTAATGTTAGGATGATGCAAAGGGAAGAGTTTTGTTTCTTTGACAGATTCATGTTGTTATTGGAAGACATAGGCTATATAAATTAAATAATTTTGATTAATAACTGAGTATGAGATTGTTTTACTAACCTGCCTAGAATTTGTTAATTTTATTGTAGGGTGGATTTAAAAAAAAGAAAAAGATTTGGTTTCTCTTTGATAATTGGTGGTACAAATACTCTAAATTAGGAGTTGAGGACTTCCAATTGGAGAATTGTTCTTCTAGGGTAATTTATAGGACATGGGTAATGAAGCTGTTGTACTCTTATTTGTCACAGAAATTTTGGGAAAAACAGGAAAATAATTATGCACCGGAGTTAGTCTGATGAGGAGGAATTATGTTACTGTAAGGTAGTAAAGATGGCTACAGAGAATTAATTGTGATGAACTCTTAGCCCAGTTTTATGAAAGTGCCCTGACCTGAATTAGAAAGAGCAATATTACTAATGTAACTTATTTATAAACTTTAAGTTTCTGGTTTTTTAGGACTAAAGATCATTCATGAAACCTATGTATGTCTTGATATTACATATCAGTTTAATCAAAACTATAGGTTGTTTTAAAGGGGAAAAATGCAAAATATAAAGCAATACAAATACTTGAAAGAAAATTTACATAATTTTTAAGTCATTATAATAAAAGAGAAAGGAATTATTGTCCTATACCCAATATAGATTCCACAAACTTCACTGCTTCCAGTATGTTAGTTACATATAATTACTAAGTAATAAAACTTTAAATAAATATTAATTTGCATTTCTATTATAGTCTAAGCAAGTTTTATAATTTAAATGTTATAACATACATTATTAAGCAATATAAATAATTTAACTATAATCAAATATTCCTTCTTGAAAATGTCATGCTAATTAAAAAATTTTAAATGTTGAAAATAAAGACTATAACCTAAAGGTGGAATGGATATATATATCAATATCCACCCAAGATTTTGTCAGCTTTACTGTAGCTGGACACTAAGAAAAATAACAGCTCAAGAAATATTCTATTTTTAAAAATAAATTTTGAAAGGATAGCTTTTTGTCCATATCTATAGTTAATCAAATCTATAACTATATGTATATTAGTAAAATAAATATGATGCAGTATTGTATATACTACACCATTAATATTTCCTGTAACACAGGAGCTCCAAAACAGGGAGCTGTTTAAGTGTCTGTGATATTCCAAAAAAACCCCAAAACAACAAAAACAAAACAAAACAAAAAAACACCTGGAGCACTAACAGATGTGGACATGCCATTTATTACTCACATTACAGGGGAACGCACTGATGGCTGTGGGTTTGTGTGGGAGAGACTGCACTCCCCTGAGTCCGAGACTCATTTTAAGGAGTCCCAGGCCAAGGAGGCACATGTCCTATGCATGACTCTAAACTATATTACTTTAGTGTGTATGTGCAGAAAGAAAAAGTCAAGAAGCAATCATAGGACAAGAAGACATTCCCAACTCCCAAATGTGGAGATAAGAAGGGAATTACAATCCATTCCCAAAACAATACACATTCCTTCTGGTCAGGGTCCCATCTGACCAGCCCTCAGACCTGGGAGAGGGGAAGGGTTATCCATGTATTGATTCCACATTTCTATACGTTAATGGAAAGAAAAATGTGGCGAATCTCTACATCCTGAATTTAGAAGTTTACCACTTTTAGGCTCTATCAACACAGACCCTTCTATATCTTTCAGGAAGGGAAATAATTATGTAAGTTGGAGACCACCATGCAAATGATATTTAACTGGTCTAGTCGATACTATATCCCGATTCCTCATTCACTGGAAGATAATGAATTTTTATGTTCCAGTAAAGACAAATTTCATTCCTTCAACTAATACTTATTGAAATACAGCAATGTTCAAGGCTCTGTACTAGGTACTATGAACAAGACAGGCTTTCTTAAATTTATATCAAAGAAGAGTAATAATTCTTTGCAAATATAAGGACGACAGTAATTGCCATAAGCAAGTTACAGATTCAGGTAGGTGCTATGAAATTTTAGAAGCCGAAGTTTTTACTTTGGATCGCAATGACTGAAGAAAGCTTCTTTACATAGTGGAATTTATACTAAGTAAAAGAATGGGTAAGATTGGTTTACAAAAAATTGGGTAAAGGAAATAAAAATTAGGAGGAAGGCTATGGATATGATTCAGGCAGTTTGAACAATTCTTTTTAACTACAGCAAAGGTTGCTAAAGTCAGAAATAAAGTACAAATGAGCAAAACCCTCTTATTTGAAACCTGGAAGGAACCCAACAGATTTCGTCCTTTTTTAAAATTCAAAGGTCTGAGAATATTACGATCTTCTTTTTAACTAGCACAAATACACACTAAATTTAACTGAATGCTTGGTAATGATTAAAACCTTGACTTTAGTTCAGGTGTTGCCCATAAACCTTACAGTCTCAAAGGGTAGAGATGAAAATGCTCTACAAACAGGCTGCTTTGAAGCTGTTTTCCTACAGATAGCTTTGTCATTCTGCGTTACTGTTGGTACATTTCCAACGTACATTATGCCGCTTTCGGTTATGCCTTTAATAATCGAAACTTTATATGATCTCTCGAGGCACAGAGGCTGACAGCTTTCAAATTAATGCGGGGCTCTCAACACAGACAAGCATGTTTCTTCACTGAGACGCAACCACCGTTTTACAGTTGTAGTTCAGCATAATTAACATTACAAATTTTAAGGATTAGGCTATGTTCTAGGCCCTTGAGCTCGGGCCTCATAGTCCCAGCCAATACCACAGCAGTGCGCTGAGGAAGTATTCCAGGATTTCAGAAACATGGCAGCGCCCACAGCTGTGGCGTACCTGCCACAGCAGCTTCTCTCCACCAGCTGGCCGGGAATTGAGCTCAGAAACACCGGTAACCTCTACAGCAGTCCGCGCCTCTTTCCACGCCCCACTTCCGCTTCCGGGGTGACTCGAGGTTCTCCGGGTGTGGGGGAGGTAGCGAAGGAGGAGCCGGAAGTGGCCTGGACACTTCCGGCAAAGGAAACTTAGCAGCAGCTCCAAGGGATTTTGACAGGCTGGGTTTCTGCATGCAGCTCTGTCTTACTTCGTTTTTCTCGCGTCTAACCTGCCAACTGCTTTGCCGCTGCTGTCCCACAACTCCTGTCTCTGGAGCCGCTCCTTCCCCATGTTTCGGGGCAGGAGTCCTGAAAGCAAAGACCCGCTGGCCGGTACCCCATCATGTCCGAACTGACTAAAGAACTGGTGGAGCTGGTGTGGGGCACCAAGAGCAGTCCCGGTCTCTCTGACACCATCTTCTGCCGCTGGACGCAAGGTACCCTGGCTGGGCTCTCACTTCCAGCGCCGCTTCCCTTGCTCTGTGAGAATCTGGCTGTGACGCCTCTCTCGCCAGTCAGCACCCTCGCTTTCCCCGCACTCTGTCCCAATTCCTTAGCCCAGCTCAGAAACTGGACTTTCTATAGACGCCCTGCCTGCCTTGGAGGGAGAGGTTGAGGAGATTGAGTAAGAGAATGGTTAAAGCTGTCCATGAAAGACCCGCAGCGCGTCAGCCGCTCCCTGGACTGCTCTTCCGTTGGAGAGGGAAAAGGGTGGTTGTTGATCTGCAGTGGCTCTGAAGGTGTTCCTGGTGCCCGTTTCTTCAAGCAGTGCCTGGCTGCCTGAATCTTTAGCCCCTAACAAGGCTTTATGTTATTGGCCCTTGGTCTGATTTTGAAGGCAGGGACGTCCGCAGTAAAGTCAAAGTGGCTTTAAAGTCAACATCCCAGACAGCAATTTTGTTGTTCGTGTTTTAATTATGTGGTTAGGCATGGTACTCTGTGCATAAATACAGCGTTGCTTGATGCAAAGTGTTCTCTAAAGCCAAAGTATCCCTGGATTAGGGTTGGTCTACTATCTGTTAACAGTTAAAAAGAATATGAATCATAGCACTTCCTCTGCCGGTCTATTACCCAGATAGGATTTTGAGTTACAGAAGAAGTTTTATTAATAATATGAATAATAATGAAATAAAATTATCGTTTTCTAAATTCATGCACTGTGCCAAGACCTGCGCTAGGCATTTTATACCTAATTCTTAAGTTTTAATATTTAAACACAATGGACGCATTACTTAAGGATTTAAGAAAGACTGGTGAAGTTAAGTGAAATTAAGAGTATAAATGTGTGAGTAATGTATGTGTGTATGTAAAACAGGCAGATAAATAGGCATTTATTATTATTAAAACATTTATTTAGAAATACCTGTTTTAAAGGATTTGGAGAAATTTTAGCATAGTAAATCTGTCGTTACTTCATAATGTGTGTTTTGTAACAGAAATTCAGGGTGTAAGTAAGCCTTTCCTCCCTCCCAGATATTTGTCTCTTAATAGCGGGTAAAGTTAGAATTATAATGTATTAACAGTCAGGTAATTTAGCCTATCACTCTTGTTTTGCAGGTGAGTCATGAAGAAAAAGGGTAAATGACCAGGACAGAGTTGCACACAAATTGATAGAACTGGGAGTGAATTACGTGTAATTAGTTTGGCTCTTTTTATTCATTTAATTATGTCACTTAACTAATATTTTCTAAAATCGTGGACATCCATATTTGCAGATTTTATTTTAAAACTTATTTTACACTTGGACTTATTGATCCTAATAGTAAAGTAGGGGAAGGGTTTTCTTCCCCTGTAATTAACCAACATTAATTAAACATTTATAGTGTAGATTAAGATGCTGTTGAGCCTCATTTACATTTTAATACAGTGATGCAGATTCAAGGAGAACTGAGACAGTTCTAGTAGTGGTTAAGAGCAGGCTTTGAAATAGGCATACTTGAGTTCTTGGTTTAAGTTGTTTAACTTATTAAAGCCTCAGTTTTCTTCTCTGCAGATAATAGTAGTGTCAACCTCATAGGGTTGTTGTGAGGGTTAGAGACATGTAAATTACACTTAGGCACTTAGCACAATACCTGATATACTCTAAACACTCAGAAAATGGTAGCTTAATTTAAAAAGTGTTTGGCTGTAGAGTAAGCCAAAGATTTCTTTCTGGTAGTGGCCTGATAACTACAAGAAATTATTTATTTGATAATCATTATTTAAAATAGAACTTTATAATGACATTATAATGCTGTGACACCTTTTAGTCATATAGAAATTCCTTAACAAGATTCATTCAATCCATGTTATTTTAAAATAAATGATTTATTTTCTTTTTTGCTTTTCGGAAAGTGCAGTTATACTATATCTATGTAATTCTTCAAGGTCTTACTTACATTGAGCAAGGATTTTTAAGGCAAGCAAATGGTGTGTTTTTAAGTTTGCACCTCTGAATCAGAAAGATGTTATTATTGGTTTTGCTATATTTCCCATTGTATTCATTTATTCATCTGTTGAGACAGAAACCATTGCTAAAAGTTGCTGTGGCAGTCACTTGTGATTATGGGACTAGGCACAAGAGACTGCATTCATAATGTGACGTTAACTTCGGCTTTATTTCATAGTGTGTAACTGTGCTTTGAATTGGCAACTGTAATGTCATTAGTCTTTTGGAAACAAGTTATAGGTATAAGTAGTTTGGGGTAAATATTTATAAAATTGGTAGGAGAGTTGTCTGGCAACCAAAGGGTGTGGGTCTGCTGGTCTGAGCACCTAAGATCCCTGAGTCCCCTGTTCCCTGGTCCCCCATCTGGGTGTGAATGGGAGGCAGCCAATCAGTGTTTCTCTCTCTCCCTTTGTCTCTCCCTTCCTCTCTCTCTAAAAGAATTGAAAAAAAAAAGTCCTCGGGTGAGGATGGAAAATTTTTTCTAGGGATATTCCATTTATGAAACTATATTGGTTGGTCATGTTAAATTCTTTTGATACAGTAAAAGAATATGCAGGAGTTTGGGCTTTTTGCTTTGTTTTGTTTTCATTGTTTAGCATTTTTAGATAATATGTTAAGCAATAAGGCTTAGGAGTGACATAGTTTTTTTTAAATTTGTTGTTTTTAAAATTCATTTGGTAGTTTTAGATAATTCTCTTCTGCAAATCCTCTTTCTTCCTTCTAAAGGGTAGGTTTTTGTGTGTGTATGTGGAGGGGTTGCCAGTTTTTGTTTTAAAGTCAATAAGTCACGTAATTTAAAGGTTTACAGTTGTTTTTTTTAACTTGGAAATTTATTCTCTACTTCTGCCTGCTTTCCTCTTGCTCAGTTGGAAGAAAAACATATATTTTCTACCTCCTTATTCATAAACATCATTTATTCTCCCTTTCCTTTTCCCCACAACAGTGTTCCAGGCCTCTGCAGTTTAGATTGACTGGGTGGGAGAAAAGGCAAATAATAAACATAATATAGCATAGATTAATACATAACAGTTAGAAGGTAAATACATAGGGAGTTATGAGATGGGGTAGCCTGGATAGGCCTCATTTGAAGGTGAGATTTGAGCAAACACTGGAAGTAAATGAGTTAATCATTTAGATAACTGAAAAAGAAATGTTCCAGGCAGAGAGAATGATCATTATAAAAGACTTAATGCAGAATATTCCTAGTTTTTTGTTCAAGTAGGAGGAAGGAGGTTAGTTTGGCTAGAGTGGGAATGAGGAAAGGGGAGAGTAATAAAAGATGTGGCAAAAAATAATATGGCCCAAATTATTGGGTTGGCCAAAATGTCCATTTAGTTTCTTCCATAATATAAAAGACACAATTTATTTTCACCAATAACTTTATTTAATTGGATATTTTAAGGGTGTAGGCTATCTCCTGCTATTGGCTTCTAGTGAGTATAGGCGAGGGGTGCTGATAAACATCATCCATGCATAAGACAGTCCCAGAGCAAAGAATAATTTGGCCAAAATGTCAGTAGTAGTACCAAGAAACTTCGCAAACCTTTTGACACGTTTGATCAGTTACAGCACCTTCTGAGGAGTTAATAACTAAATTGAGTCATTAGGAATGCGAAGTATTCAGCTATATGAAGAGAGAAAGAGCATTTCATGCAGAGAGAACAGCAAACATCAAGGCCCCGGGTCAAAAGATCTCAGGATGTCCTAAGGCCCTGATGTCACTGTAGATGATGAAGGTGAGAGTGGACTTGAGGAAAGGTGGGTTTTATAGATCATACATTGTTGTTAGGTCATAAAAAGGAGTTTGAGTTTTATTCTAATTGCAGTGAGAAAACATTGAAATGTTTTAAGCAGGCTGTGACAAGTTCACAATTGCATTTCTAAAATATTCCTCTGGTAACTCTGGTGAAACCTTATTGGGGGTTTGGGGGTGTGGAATGGAGAGATCTGGTTGGAAATTCATAAGAATATTGTAGCTGACAGATGGTAGTGGTTTGAACTCATTTGGTAGACTAGAGATGGAATAGAAATGGATAGACACAAGATATGTTTTGGAGCCTTGAACTAAGAGGACCTTATCGTAAGGTGAAGCCTAAAAGATGTGGGAGTTTTTCAGAGATAGAATTAGCATGTTCTTCAAGCTGAGGTAACATATTCAAATGGTAAGAAATCAGAGGGAAAAAATGGATATTTGAGGACCTGAGAGAAGCTCAGCATGTTTGGAGTCTAAAGAGGGATAGTGGCATAGGATGACGTAGGAAACACACCCAGAGGCCAGATCCTATAGGACCATATTAAAGCATTTAGAGTCTGTCTAGGACTGGGCTAGACAGGATGAGTTACCCTGGGAGAATGTGTGGATAGGGGAAGTGGGGACTGGGAGGAGAGGAGTAAATGAGGGAGTGAAATAGGGACATCTGCAATAGTGTCAACAACAGAAATTAAGAACAGAGATTGAAAAGCCAACACCTAAAGAACATTAGCATTTAAAAGAAGTTGATTAAGGAGACTGAGAAGAAAGAGAAACAAAATTGGAACAAGAGGGACAAAGGTTTTTAAGAAGTCAGTGGTCAGCATGTCAGATGATTCTCTGGGAGGTTAAAAAAGAAAAGACTTAAAAAAATGGCTTTTATTGGTCATTGATAAACTTGGTGAGAATGAGTTTGTTGTAGCCACAGGTTGGAAACCAGATTATTGTGGGTAAAGTTAATTGTGAAGTAAGGAGATTTAGACAGTGCATGTAGACAACTAGGTGGGCTTTGAGAGAGTGGTGGTTGGAGTTTTAGGTGGCATGTTCCTTTTATGGTCAAGTGATTTTTTAATTAAAACTTTATTTTTTTTAGAGCAGTTTTAGGTTCACAGCAAAATTGTGGGGAAGGTACAGGGATTTGCCATATGCCTTCTGCTCCCACAATAATATGCATAGCCTTCCCTATGTGAATATCCTCTGTAAGAGTAGTAGTACATTTGTTATAATCAATGAGCCTATATTGGTACATCATTATCATCCAAAGTCCATACTTTACATTAGTGTTTACTCTTGGTGTTGTACATTCTATAGGTCTTGACAGTTGTATAATAACATGCATCTATCATTGTGGTATCATAGTATTTTTACTGCCTTCAAATCCTCTGTGCTCTACCTAGTCATCCCTCACCTCTCCCCTCTTCTGCTACCCCATGACAATCACAAGTCTTTTACTGTGTAAGTTTCACCGTTTTTAGAAGGTCATATAGTTGGAATCATGCAGTGTTTGAAGCTTTTTCAATTTGGTTTCTTAATAATAAGCATTTAAGTTTCATCCATGTCTTTTCATGGCTTTCGAGCTCATTTCTTTTTATCACTGAATAATATTCTTTTGTTTGGATGTACCACAACTTATCCATTCACCTACTGAAAGACATCTTGACTGCTTCCCTGTTATGGCAAATAGGAATAAAGTTGCTCTAAACATTGTTTGCAGGGTTTTGTTGTGTACATAAATTTTCAGCTCCTTTGGGCAAATACCAATGAGCTTTTGGTGGAATCTTTAGGTGTTTTGTACTTAAATATATGATACACGTGTAAATGATGATTGAAAAAGAGAGATTGAGAGGTAAAAAGAAAGGAAGTAGGCTGGGATCCTCTACATCTCATGGCACCCGTAAACTAATTACTAAAATTCTGCCACACAGTAAAAACTATATTGTTTGCTGATCTAACAAAAAATGGGTATAACTTTGATTGATTTACAAAAAAATAATAATTATCTACCCTTTTTGCTCCAAAGGGAATTTAAAAAAAAATCAGGTTTATACTGATATATAAGGATTTTTGGTACCAAGAAATAACCAATCAGATGCAAACTTATTATGCAACATGACTGATAAGATGCAACTCTATTACATGACCTACGTATTTATGGTTTAAGACAGGGCATTCACACCAGAATATGGTTAAGTATTGGCTGCTGTCATTTTTTTATTTGACATTCTAAAGGAAAGGAGGTCAGTGCCCCTGACTAAATAGTCAGATATTGCATGTTTTAAAACATTTAAAACATTTTTGCAACATACTGGTTGAAAAATTGCTTGCTATCATCTAGTATCTCAAGCTAGATACTACAGTTGTGTGTGTGGGTATGTGTGTGTGTGTGAGAGAGAGAGAGAGAGAGAGACAGACAGACAGACAGACAGACATAGAGATGTAACAGCCTCATCCTCATTCTGGTCATTTAAAAAAGAAAAAACTATGGTCATATAACTGTTTTAATTAGTGCTTGTTATGGTGCGGTACTTTCCACTGTTGACCTCTTGTCAGTGTCCCCTCCTCCCATGTACCATCTCCCCTGTCCTGCCCCCATACTGCTTTTTGGCTACATTGTTTCCCTCTGATCCATAACTTGCCCTGCTCTTAGTAACCCTTGTTCCTTTAATAAAATCATCCTCCCACTCTTGTTTCTCTGGCAAATTCCTATTCTAGATTAGCCTCAAACTCATTAGTTATGACTTGACTCAGGCAGAGTGAGTCATTCCTTTCTGTATCCACAACACTGTCATCTTACTTCTGTTGTAACATTCATTTCTTTATTTTAGTGATTATTTGTTTGTGTGTATGTCTTCACCTGGACTGTTGGCTCCTCCAGACTATGGAGTCTGTCATTCATATGTATATCCTAGATGTTTGGTATAGTATCTGATGCTCATTAAATATTTGTTAGATGACTGACTCAAGTATAATCTTTAGTGAAACTTTACATATTCCTAGTCTGTTGGAATTGTAGTGATCATTTTAAAGATAAATACACTGAGGCCTAGAGAGGTGGAATGATTTCCTAAACTAGGAAATCATAGTATCTCCATTCTCCTCACTTCTATCTCTGTGTTGCAGGGTGCCAGTGCTCTCTGTGACCACTTCTATTAGCTGCTCTCAGGCAGTATTGGTCAGGTAATATTTAAATTAAGAGCTACCCTGGCTGGTGTGGCTCAGTTGGTTGGAGCATCATCCTGTAGACTGAAAGGTTGTGAATTTGATTCCTGGTCAGGGCACATACCCAGGTTCCGGGTTCAGTCCCTGATTGGGGCACATAGAAGGCAGCCAATCGATGTTTTTCTCTTACATCGATGTTTCTTTCTCTTTCTCTCTCTCTCCCCTCTTCTCTCTCTCTCTTTCTCTCCCTCCATCTTTCTCCCTCTTTTTCCCTCCCTCTCTCCCTTTCCCTCACCCCTTCCCCTCTCTCTAGGAGCAATGAAAAAATGTCCTCAGATGAGGATAAAAAAAAAATTAAGACAGCCAATGTGAGTACATTCACTGTTATGTATGCTGATTTAATTTTTAGTTTATAGAATGTGACTCAAAGATTGGGACAAAAAAATACATGTACTATATGGAAAGAGTCCAAAAAATTTTGTTTGAATTCAGTAGACTGTGTGTGTAGTCTTCCTTCAAGTAAATTAAACTATATTAAACTCAGATATGGTGTCTTTTTCCATACTTTATCCCCCTAGTCCATTTAGAGGGGTCCCTGGATACAAACTATTGTGTGTGCATATGTGCGTATTTATGTTTTTATGTACAGTTTGTGGGAGAGCATTGGTTTCATATCTTTTTTCAAAAGGTTCCTTGAACCCCCTAAAAGTTATGACTGCTCCTGACTGGAAGATACTGTGCAGTTGTTATAATGACCTTTCTCTAAGCAAAGTACATTAAAAATTCTTTTGGCTGCTGCTTGAATTATATTTTTAATCTTTGCTACTTGCTTTCATTTTTAGGATTTGTGTTTAGTGAATCAGAGGGATCTGCATTAGAACAGTTTGAAGGTGGCCCCTGTGCTGTTATTGCACCTGTTCAGGTAACATAGACTACTTTACCAACTCCTTAGTGGGACGTGTTCAAACATTTCATACTATACTTTTTGTTTTCTAGTATATATACTCTAATCATGTTCATGTAAATTGCTGTAGATACCCAAAATAAAAGTGAATTCAGCAGAGAAACAGACAACAGCGTGGTGATTACCAGAAGGGAAGGGAGGTGGGAGGAGACGGAAGAGGGTATAGAAGGGATAGGTGGAGATGGAAGGAGACCTGACTTGGGGTGGTAAACACACAATACAATATGTAGACGATGTGTTATAGAATTGTACACCTGAAACCTATATAATTTTATTAACCAGTGTCACCCCAATACATTTAATAAAGAAAGTAAAGTGAATTCAGAACATGAGTAAGATTACACAGCAATAGCCTTTTGACTATATTTTCAAGAAAGCAAAGTAAGTGTTCCCTGATTTTCAGGAAATGAGGAATTAATGATCATGCCATCCTTCTATTACAATGATCCTGTTGAGTAATAGCATTTTGTACTACAGATAAGTAAATTGTAGCAATGGTACTATTTTCATTTGATCTCTCTATAAGAATGATTTTCCTAAAAAGTTGAATATGAGTTAATATTTTCATGGCCTAAAACTTCATAAATTTTTAAAATAAGTTGGCAGGTTATGCTATTTTAGGCTATAGCTTTGGCCTTTAAAATAAAATCAGTAGTAACTGCTTTCAAACAGAATTCCCAAAATGAAAAATTATTTTTTTATCTTATTAACCCCATAAAAGGTAGGGTTAATCTGAATATATGTATTTGATTTTGAATCTTGATGTGTTACATTGTTTGAATTTCAAAGCTGATTTGTTATAAACTGTTAAATTGTTTAAACCAAAAATGGAATTTTCAGTTTACTATTAAACTTATATCTGAATAATAATGTAACTTAAGAACTGTTATAAAAGAAGTTGAATTTATTGTTTATATATTAATCAGCAGGTTTTGAAAATAAATACTTAATGTTATATTTATTATTCATTGATCATAAAGAATGAATTCCTGAACTGTTAGCTGCCAAGTAAATTTCTCACTCAACACTTATATTTTATACACTTACATAAATAAACTAAATATGTATTCCCTGAAGGAGGAAATGAATCTCTCTTCACGGCTGATTATAAAATATATTCTTTATAGGTCATTATTTTATTTCTTTAAAAAGTTGATATGTGTACTTTTTTTTTGCATTAGTGGAATTATTTAAAAAATTTAAAAAATGAATGCTAATACTTCAACTTTGCTTGGGAGTTATTGAATGTAAAGAATAAAATTTAACTATAAATTAGTTATTAGAGCTATTTTGTTGAACTGAGGCAGATTTTGATTGCTAGTAGGAATCTTATTATCTGAATTTGAAAATTCCTTGTCCTTCCCATTTGCAAATTAGATTATATTAACACTGCCCCTCTTGGGCCATTAACAGTACTTCAGGTCTTTATTTACTGCAAGTCTGTGAATGTAGTTAAATGCAAGTTATGCCACAGGAGTTTTGTGTTTTATAAAATTCAGTACATTTCCAGGATGGTAGTTATTTTTGCAAGTGGGGTTGCTGTGTAACAAGGGATAATTGTAATAGTCAAAATCCTAAAGTATCTTTGAGGTAGTAATTTAGTTTCATAGTCACATAAATCTTTTCAGTCATAGAGGAATTTTGTTTATATTACAATTTCAAGTAAAAATCCAAGTAAATCATTAAGAATCATGAAAGGAAATGAACAAGTCCAGATATTAAAAGTTTTTAATTATAAAGTTTTGCTTTATAATTTAAATAATAGTAGGCACTATGGCAAGAATAATAGTCATACTATGGAACCAATTAGATAATACAGTAATAGGCCACATTACATATAACAGTTTACCAAGAGTTTATCAGACGCCATGATAAAGAAGGAACTGTATACATTAGTGGTGCTTAAATGGTAATGGAAAAATAAAGATTAAATTAAAAAATAAATCAGTGGTGGAATAAAATGAAATTTACTAAATGACACTGATATGACTGGTTGGCAATTTGAGGGGAAAATGAATTTAGATCATCTTATACCATATGCCAAATATATTCTTGATATAATATTCAACTGCAGAAAAACTAAAAACAATGTATTATCAACTGTCTAAGAGAAAGGATAAGTTCCAAATACAGAAAAAGATTTGCAGTGAATACTAACAATAAATGGACATTGTCTTTCTTATATGAAGAACTTATACAAGTTGGTTATAAAACACTTAAGACCACAGAGGTGAAATGAGCCTTTATATACAATCATAACAGCTGGAATGGTGTGGACAGCCAAAGAATCAAGATCTTCACCTTCAATAGGAATCCAAGAAAATACAAAAAAACTGTAACTAAACTCTACTGCTTGCTCTTTCTAATCTTTTTTTAAATCATTTTAATTTTTTAAGTACAGTTTCATAAATTATTATATTAGTTTCAGGTGTACAACCCAGTGATTAGACATTAAATAACTTACTGAGCAATAATCATGATAAATCTCACACCCATCCGACAGCACACATAGTTATCACAATATTATTAACTATATGGAAATAATTGCCAGGACATATGAGGTAGGATGATTTTTGATGTCCTCATACATTGCTATGTAGTACAAATTTGTACTGTGATTTTTGGGAAGGAATTTTACATTATACTTGGAGCTATGATAATGCAGATTTTTTGATGCAATAGTTGTACTTCTGCGAATCTTTCCTAAATAAATAATCTTTAATATGGGAAATGTTATATTCAAGAAGTAGCTTTTATATTTATAGTATAGTATAGTAAAAAAAATTGCAAACAACCTAATGTAGAGTAACATAGTTAAAACATCAAATAATGTTTAAGTAAATTTTGATAGCTTGATGAAAATTTAGTGATTAAGAATTATAGTTATAAATTCAGTGAAAAAACATTAAAATGGAAAATAATCACATACCCATTATGCTTCTTACTTGTAATACAATTTTAAAAAGGTATGAAAAAAAGACTAGAAATAAGTATATCAAAGTGCTAAGTAGTTGTGTTGGTGAAATAATGGGTGTCCCACCTCAGTTTTCCAAAATTTTATAATATAGTTATTCTACTTAAGTTTATGGTTATTTTCATTTTGGGTAAAAATAAGAAACACGAATTGTAGAATTTGTAGATTTTGTTTCTATGAGAATATATAATATTTAGTTTTTTGTTAAAATTATTTGAAAAACTTGCTTATTAGATGCCAGGTACTGTGCTAAGTGCATTACATAGATTATCTCATATAATCCTCACTGCAACCTTTCAAAGTTTGTGCTCTTATTATTTTTAATTAGTAGAGTAGTGGAACTAGGATTTAAATCTAGGTCTGTCTGACTCAGAGCTGTCCTCTTATCCGTATATTACTACTTTCAAACACATATGAGTAAGAATCACCATAGTAACCTCTTTTTCTTGAATCTGTCCCCTAGAGATTCAGATACAATAGACAGAGCAAAAGAATCTGCATTTTAAATAAGACTAGGATGCAAATAGCCCTTGAACTGCAGTTCGAGAAGGAAACACTGTATTGTGCTGAACTGCTTTCTATTAAATCACCAATGTAACATATGAAATCAGAGAAGTTTAGACTTACTCCTGTTCTGTAGGGCCTTCTCATTATGTTTCTTTAATTTTCCAGTTCTGTGTCTTATTTTTGAGTCAGTTCTTCTATTTACCGTGAAGTATGTATTATGAAAGAAGAATTTTATGGATATAGAATTAAGGTTATAATAGTATATTCTGAATAGATAATAATGCCTAGTTACTGTTGAACATGAAGGGGAGCCATTTGAAATTTTTACAGCTCTCTTCAAAAGATTATATAGGAGGTACAAATTAGTTTTTTTCATTTTAAAATAAAAGTGATATATGTTTATAATGTATGCTAATAATTATTGCTTTAATTGTATAAAGGCATTTCTTTTGAAGAAGCTCCTGTTTTCTTCTGAGAAGTCTTCTTGGAGGGATTGCCCAGGTATGATTGCTGTCTTTCATAAACTTTTACTACAGCTTCTATTTTACAGATGACCTGTGCAGCATTATTTGGTAATAGTTTATAGGTAAAATTTTCTATCTTAAAATGTAAACTGTTAATGGGATGTTTTTCCCTGAGATTTATTTTTTAATATTTCAGAAAGATTCATGGACAGCGACTCCAAATTTTAAAATACATATATTTCCAAATTTGGTTTCCTAAGATGTATAAGATAGGATAATATAACTAAGGGAAAAAGCTTTGTCCTCTTGCTAAAGCAATGTACATTTCCTTAAACTGTTAAAGCATACCATAGGGAACAGTCATTTATGTATGTTTGTTTTGTCTTATTTAGCTTTGAGCAAGAACTCAGTTATTTTTGTATTTCTGCATCTTTTAGTATAATGTCTTACATAATGCAAATAGTATTGCAAATAATTCTAAATTAAATTGTGACTGAAGCTGTCATATCTTCTGCAATATAATTAGGTGAGAGAACTGTATGGCACTACCTGATGATAAAAAAAATTTGCATTCCACTTGACAGTTTACAAAGATCTTTACTTCACTTATGTAATTTCATGTGGACCTCACAATAACTTCTAGAGGGAGGTAGGATTTATTATGACCCCAGTTAGAGTATCAGGGCGAAACAGTTTCCAAACCATGCACATAGAATCTACTAGTGATCTTGAATTTAAGAGTTAAAATGTTATTATCTTGTATTTTTTTATTCATTAATATTAGGAATGCAAAATAAATTTTAGTAGAGGAGAGACAAGGGATACTATTTTTTTCTTCTTTTTCTTTTTTTTTTTTTAAAGATTTTATTTATTTTTAGACAGAGGGGAAGGGAGGGAGAAAGAGAGGGAGAGAAACATCAATGTGTGGTTACCTTTTGTGTGCCCCTTACTGGGGACCTGGCCTGCAACCCAGGCATGTGCCCTGACTGGGAATTGAACTGGCGACTCTTTGGTTCTCAGGCTGGCACTCAATCCACTGAGCCTCACCAACCAGGGCTATTTTTATTCTTTAAAAATTTTTTTATTGTTGTTCAAGTACAGTTTTCTCCATTTTCCCCTCACCATTCCCCCTCTCCCCACCTATCTGCTCCTCCCTCCCTCAACCCTACCCTGCTTTGGCTTTGCCCATATGTCCTTTATACATATTCCTTGATGACCGTTCTCTTTTTTCTCCTGTTATCCCTCCCCACTCCTCTGATTACTGTCAGTTTGTTTTTTATTTCAGAGTCTCTGGTTATATTTTGCTTGCTTGTTTGTTTTGTTGATAGTGTTAACGTGAATGTTTAATAATAAGATTTCTTGCACAGGAATATATTCACATTGATAAAAAATTTATATTGCATTGTCATAAATGTTGTGAAGGTTATAAAGTGAATGGCACCGTTTCTGTGTTTAAAGAATTTTAAATCTGTTAGGAGAGATGGAAACCTCCTTACAGCATAAAATTTTACATACAATGTGTATACACTTTACCCCCTTTGTTTGAAAGTTTCAGAAAGCAATACTACTTTAGGAGGGTAATACTCCCTGAAAAGGGGAAAGTGGCTAAGGTTCAGAAAGAAATTGAGCATTTGTGCTTTTTTCTATAAAAACCTATAGATCAAATTACTGCAATACAGTATCAGTAGATTCTGTATCATGAGGCATGACGACAATGGCCCCTGCTAATCTAATGGACTATGGTATTATTGTATGTCTTGAGGGTATGTTATCTCATTCTTTTTACCCTGTGGGACAGGGAGATAAAAAACATTAGGCTAATTCAGAAATGGGGAAATAATAGAGGTCTCAACAGGCCCTTACATTGTGCCTATTTCTACAATAAAGGATACCTCATGGCTTAAATACTTCATTTACAGCTAAGAAACAGGTGATCAGTATCAGGTAATATTTTTTCTCCTAATGTTTAATTCTGCATTTTTTAGGATTCTTTTTCTCATTAATGGAATTATTTAATAATGGTGACATTGTAACCCTCATGCACATTATTTTCTAAAATATAATTTAAGATCAGTTGTGGATTTTTCCCCCACTTAAAATGCTTGATTTTCATCATTAAATTAATACATTCTTAGGATTGTTATTCATGCCTGGATTACTTTTTTTTCAAAGGAAACCATTATATCTTATACTTTGGTTATTTTTAGAGGAAGAGCGGAAGGAACTCCTTTGTCACACCTTATGTGATATTTTAGAAAGTGCCTGTTGTGACAACTCTGGATCATACTGCCTGGTTTCATGGTTAAAAGGAAAAACAACTGAGGAAACTGCTAGTATTTCTGGGAGTCCTGCAGAGTCCAGTTGCCAAGTGGAACATTCTTCTTGTAAGATACATTTTTTTCCTCAAGTAATTTCTTATAGCTTTGTTTTAATAAAACTATTGAAAATTTTGAAGAAGAATTAAAATTATCATAATGTATCTCTTTTTTAACCTAAACTTAATTCATGAGCTTTAGTATTTTTCATTTCCCTTTTGATTATTTTAATTACTAGAGGATATTGCATTTGTTTATTTTTGCTTTCATTTTTGGAAAAAAAGGAAATGTATCTCTTAAAATTAAAAAAAAGTTCTAGTTAATGTCCTGCTTGATTACATTCTCTTGTGAACTTTAGAACTCTCATTTAGAAAGTTTAAAGAACATATTTCTATATACTTTAATTTCAGATGCCTTAGTTGTTTACTTTGGTAGTGGGAGAAAAAGGAATTTTTTTGACATTAGAAAATTTCTTAAAATATTTTTAGTTGCTTCATAGAGCAAAGATGGGACTATTTTTTTTTTTTCCGTTATATGTTGTGTTCTTCCTGCCTAAACTTTTTGGACTTTGTCACTGTATATAAATTATTTTAAAGTATTTTTAATTATGAGTTTTAATTTTGTCTTTATTTATGATTTTCATGCTTTGAAGATTTCTCTTTAAAAATTAAACTGCCATTCTCATTATAAAATATTATATATTCTGTAGTCTTTAGCCTTGGAAGTTTTTCTGTAATTGGCCTAAAAACTGCCAGAATGGACTAGTGGTACAGAAGCTAGATTAAAAGAATTGCTGTTCTTTTATTCTTTTCAGGAACTATCTTGCTAGTAGGTGGCTTTTGATAATCGGTACTTTCAAGTGCTTATATTGAATAAGTGACTTACTCTACTTATAATGCATTCCATTAACTATCATCTATGGAAGTTGTTATTAAAGAAATTAGCCAATTTCCAGGGAGTAAATCTTGATTGTTGGTGATATACAGCTTGCTTTCCCTGTAGGGCAGTCTGTGATGCACTGTTGCCCTGGAGCTGCAATGTGTCTGTGATGTCAGTGTTTTCTCTGCTACCTCTGCGGCTGCAGCGGTACATTCTCATGATGGTGCATCCGCGAGGAAGAATTTTTGAAACAAACTGTTCAGTGGCATTTCTTTCTCAGGCTTTCAACATAAACTCTCAAAAAAAAAATTTAACATTTTTAGAGTTGATTAATACAGTTTAAGGAAATGAGTGGAACATATTCACAAGGATGATAGTCAAAAATGTCATTAAGATTGGTTTTAAATATTTTCCAGTTTTACTGGGTTGCATGTAAGCATGCTTAAGAGTTTTATTAAGGTTATCAAATTTTTGACAGGAATAGTTGAACTAATTAAAAGTTCTTTTAAAGATTAGGTGCTTAAAGCCAGTCTATATATTGAAATGTAAGAATATAGTTAAGATCTTTTTTGTAACATTTTTTATTAGTATCTTAGTATATACTGTGTGCTTACTGTGGATTATGCTGTACATTCCGTAGTGATATGTTAAATGGCCTCATAATATGTTAACATAGGGGCTTCAGTAACTAATTTAGGTGGGTGTACTATAGTGAATTCCCCTTTGAAAACCGTATTTTAGTAATTTTCCATTTTACTTTGCCTCATTCTAAAAGTAGACATGAATAAAATCAGATTTAAATTTTGTTTTTTTTAATAATCGTATAAGTTGGAAAAGTTTTAACTAAAAATTTGAGAATTTACCTTAGATGTTGACAAATGAAATGAACTTACGTTAAAATTTTATTCCATGTAACAATCTACTTTACCTATTCTTTCCTTTATTCCCAGCTATGTTCTTTTTCTTGTGTTTTATATTTTTTCACCATCCTGCCTGCTCAGCTTTCATTTTGCTTGCCTCCTTTCTCTAAATTACTATCTTTATGTCAACTTTTGTAGTGTATGCCCAGTAAAGTTATTTAGGTAATCGGGCACAGAAAAATTAGTACAGCTTGGAAAAGGTTAGATAGAGTTTTTATTTTTTTCTGAAATTTTAAATATGATATTTCCCCATTGTCAATATTACATTCTGTACAAACATCAATTTCATTGGCTTGTGTGGTGTGTATAGTTTTGGCTTCTGGTAATGCACACTTGTTTGCAGTAGTGAATACTCAGGTTCAATTTCAGTTTGTTTCCCACACAGATGAAAAGATTATTTAAGCCGTTAGAAATTTCAAGATTTTAAAAAGTAATTTGAAACATTTGAAAATTAAAACTATACTTTGAAAAGCTAGCATATTGTGACCTTTTCAATTGTAAATAAAACATTTTTAATTTTTAATTCTTACTGAATCAATTTCCATAGTAAGAATTAAGTGTTAAGATTTGCTTTATAAAAATATATACGCATATTAAATTGTTCATTTTGAATAAATTAGAGTAGGCGTTTTGATTCACCTTTAAAGACTTTATCTGTGGGGAGCCAAACTCTCTGGGCTGAAATCTCAGCTCTGCCGTTCACTGCTGTGCGCGCTTGGGAGGATTCCTCTCCGAGCGGCAGCTGCCTCCTCTGTGGAAGGAGGACAAGAGGGTTCTGAGGAGGGTTAAGTGAGGAAAGGGGCCTGGCACGTAGAAGAGTGCTAAGCTCTACCTTTGATTTAAATGCTTTCTTTGATTTAATTTGACTTTTTAAATTTATAATCGTACAGCATTAATATACATAATCTAAATAAGTAATTGAAAATTTCCCAACAGTGGTACAAATTAACGAGGAAACAAACTTAAACCTGTTGTTGAACCTGTATAGTTTCAAAGTGCTATGCCTTTTTATACACATTTGTTTATAATTAAGCATTAAACCTAAAGATTTTATATTATAAAGAGGAAGATTAGCTATGATGATTTTACTTGGATCTGTGGATTGAAAGATTATTTAAAAGTGCAGGACACATTACAATGATGTGGCACTATGATTGCCAATAATTTCTCATTTTATAAACTATCCTAGCATAATCGAATTGATAAGAAGTGTTTATTATTTAATCACGCTTCCACAGTCTTAGTATTATATCCATTTAGTTATAATCATGGTAACTAAGATATTGAAATATAAATTTTTATTATAATGAAGTTGAAAACAAACTGAGGATTATAAGGGAGTAAGAGAAGAGGGAAAATTTTGATTGCTTGAAAGTATTTACAGCCTGCTGTGTGTATCTTGTGTCATTTATTTGCCATGTGTAGTGCTGAAAAGTGTCTTTTATGTATAGCTGCCTTGGCTGTCGAAGAGCTTGGCTTTGAGCGATTTCATGCATTAATTCAGTAAGTAACATTGGAACATTTAAAATACTTACCTTGTGGACACATTGCCATTTTAAGTCTGTTCATGCTGGGGAAAGGTACTTATATTTTTATGACTGAGGATTAATTTGTTTTCAGGTTAAAAAAATAATTTGTAAATGTGTGCTTAAATTATTTGGATTCCTAAATTAACTATCAAAATACACCTTTTATAACATTAAAAGCTTTTTCACCATTACAATAAAAAAATAATTTTAGCCCAGTGTTTCTTTGCCCTGAGAGGAAAGGTTTCTAGTAGAATAAATATTTGAATTATTATTTATCACTTGCCAAAATATGCTTTCTATAATTTTCATTAAAAGTGCTGTGTTTTCATTAGAGCATTTAAACATTTTATTACAAAATAGACAGTAAGGATAGCTATAGTGATAGCAGTATAGTGGCATTTGATTTGAAATATAACTTTAATTTCTTTTAAAGTAAGTCACAAAGGTACAAATGTCAAGTTTTGTTTGTTCTTAAACTCATCTTAGAAGAGGTCCACTTCATTCCTTAAATACCTGTGTAATTATTGAAGAATTTATCAATGCCAGACAGTTCACCTAAGAAATAAAGAGATTCCCTACCAAGTAGGCATTCGATCTTAATGGGATATATTATATTTAAGGACAGCTGTCAGCAATAGCTTTTGCTCTTAATGAATAAATTTGTATTTGAAAATTTGAGACACTTGCAAAAATGTCCTACTTGTATATATACATTTTAATGTATAAGACAGTTAAGCATTTTTCCATTTATGGATGTAGTATACCTCATGATGGTACTAATACTTAATTCTTTTCACCCCCTAGAAAAAGAGCATTCAGAAGTTTATCCGAATTAAAAGATGCTGTCTTGGACCAGTATTCAATGTGGGGAAACAAATTTGGAGTATTGCTTTTTCTGTATTCTGTATTACTGACAAAGGTTTGTTTAAGAAGATGCTTCTGCCGGCTTTTACCAGTTTGAGTTTAATATATTTTTCCTGCTATGAGGAAAATTATTCTTGATGCTGTTTCTAAATCTCAGAATAAAAATCTCTTGTGCTGATAATTCTCTTTCCTCATCACTCACTTGTTATTTAACCACTTTGAAATTTATTTTCACCTCTGATCTTCTGGACTGCAGAGGTTATCAATAATGTGCTGATCATCAAATGCACTTAGTTCTTCTGAGTTTTATTTTCTTTGCTCATAGGAATGTCTGGCAAGTGACACCTTAACCCCTTCTGGAAGCTCGCTCTAACTCCTACTCCTTTTCTTAGCTTAGTTAATACATCATTGTACGATGTTCTCTTTCTGTAATGTCTCATAATTACTTTTTTGTTTATGTCTTTCTTTCCATCTTTATCTGTTATCTCCTGTTTCTTTCTCTTCTCCACTAAGCTTTTATATTCCAAAAATTTCAGTCCCTAGGTTCGTACTCTGCTTCTTTTATGGGTGTTTTATTCTCTCGGTTTACCTTTATGTGTTTAATTCTAATATGTACAATATCAGCCCTGCCCTTTTTCCCCAAGTGCCAATCTCATATCTTTAGTAGCCTGTTAATCTCAATTATCCTACTAGATATACCATGTCTACAATCAAACTTCTTTCATTGGACAAATGTTTACTGAGTATTTCTCTGTATTAGGTGCTGGACTTACAATGGGATATACCTGTGTTTAATGATTCCTATTCAGTGTTGTAAACAACAGTTGGCACAGTAATGATTACTTCCATTTGGTGGGGGTGGGGGGGGAGAGAGAGAGAGAGAGTTGCATGCACCGAGCATGAAGGAATAATAGTAAAGGTATGCTTAAGATTATTTGGTAGAGTCAAAGAGAGACCTTATCTAGACAAGGCCAAATTTTATAGACAGAAAGCTCTGGGAAGATTTTCTAAGCAGTGGAAATAGCAAGTGTAAAGGTATAATCAGTTGTGGGTTTAACAGTGTCTGGGGAACTATAAGTGGCTGAGCATTACTGTAGCATAATACGCCAGAAAGGCAATTGTGGGAGATGAGACTGAGCAGTTATATAGATAAGGTTTAGAACATGAAGATCTTTGTATATTATGGAAAAATAGTTTTGATTTTATGTGACCAAAATTAGAACAAAACAAGAATTTTCAGCAAGGGAGTAACAAGATCTTTTTGTTAATAAACTTGTCCTTAAATTGGGATAAGAGTTGTGTTGGAGGTAGTTGGTGTGTGGAGCATGAGTCCAGAGTCAGGAAAACTAGAAAAGTGGTTTTTGAAATAGATGACTGTCAGCTAGGGCAGCGACTGTGGAAATAGAAAAGAAAAGGAGCATATTTAGAAGCATGTTTTAAATTTAGAAATTTAAAAACATTTCAGAGGATGTTTAAGTGAAAGAACCAAGAGTGCTTGGTAGTTGGTTAGAAGCAGTGAATGACAGTGTTGATATCTAACTAAGATGACTGGCTTCTTATGACTTCATCTTAACAGTTCCTTATTCAGCCAGTTTTTTATGGTCAAGACTTGTGATACCTCCTCTGTCTTTTGTCCTTTACAGCCAATAAACCATCATGTTAGTCATTCTTCCTCAAGCCTGTCTTTGAAATGATGACCCCTCCTTCCCCAGTGGTTATTTCACTTGTTCCTATTGTTCATTTTGGCTTTATCAGAGCCTGCTTTGTATTGTTTACAAGGAAGGCATGTGCAAGGTCTCCTACTTGTTTGTGTCCTCCTACCTGCACTTACACAATCATTAAATATTTTGATTATTGGTTAATTGTTTCTTTAATCCTTAGAAGTGGCCTATAATCTGATAGAACCAATGGTTAAAGTTAAATGAGTAGCACAATGAATGGCAGATTATCTTTGTTTTTTTGGAGCTGATCAAGTGAAGGTGCCTAGGCCTTCTTTGTAGTGATGTAGTACCTAGACCTTTTGGGATTTGGATGCCCTTTTGGGGATTAAAAATACCACAAAGTTGCTTTTCAAGAAAATAAGCTTACTGCCCTCTTAATTTGTATTTTTGTCAGTACACATTTAAATTACCAATATTTGTAAGAATACACAATCAGAAGCAAATCTTCCATTTTCTTATGTACCAGTTATACCTTTTTGATTTTAAATTTATTTATCAACAGTCATGTGTGTATGTATTTAGTTCCAATATGCTTTTTAAATGACCTAAGAAAATATATCAGATGCCTTAGCAGGTATCTTAGTTTTGAATTTAATTTATCCTAAAGTTAACATTAACCCTTGGTTTAAATAGTCTCTTTCCTCCTCTTGAAACTTAAACATTCTCTCTCTCTACCCATTTAACCAACATTAGATCTATTACCGGTATTCTTTTTTATAGAGCCCATGAAAGAAAATAAAAAGATTTTCTTAGGGAAACTACCGTCTTACCTTTATCATCTCAAATGCACCCCTAATTCAAATATGCTTAATTCTTTGGGAGAAAAGCTTGTTAAATAATTGTGTTTTATTAATTTATAGTATGAACTGGTCAATTTTTAAACTACTATAGTTTTCATTTCTAGTTTTTAAAATAAACCAAGAATATTTGGTTTTTTTAGGGCATTGAAAACATAAAAAATGAAATTGAAGATTCAACCGAACCTTTGATAGACCCTGTGTATGGACATGGCAGGTAATTAGCTAAAATCTGTTATCTTTGCAAATGGACTTTAATTTTTAAGAATTTGACTTAGAATAAACTGCAGAGTCAGAAAATTTTGCTTGTCAGTGTTGACAGCATAAAGTCTAAGAATTTGAGCAGTTTTGTGCTTTATGTATTGCTTGCTTTGTGTACAAAATGTTAATTTTTACTTGAGGTTTATGTGTGCAGTGCATTTGTTGTAGCAAATATTTTGTTTCAGGATGGCAGGGAAATATTGTAACAACTTGTGCTTGATGTTCCATTTATGAAACTTTAATAAATGAAATTTATTAATTTTGACTAGAAATAAGTATATCTTTACCTATTTATAAATGCTTTCCTGTTTGGGTGAAAAATTTTTTTTCTTATTTTTCTTTATGTAACTACCTTCCCTCTTAAGTATTTTTTCTAACTTTTTCATTTAAAATTGATAAAACAGTGATAACTCACTCTAAAAAAATTAAGTACTTCTCTTTAGAACTTTCTGCCTCAGAGGTTAAAATTCACATGTGTTCCATCAAACACAAAATAATAACATTTATATATGTATTTTTAAAGATGATTATAAATATTAAGTAAATTATCAGCCTAAGTATCTGTTTTCATTCATTTAAATACAGTATATTGGATAAAGTTGTTAGGTTTATGTGAAAATATTGAGCAATAGGTATGTGGTGATTCATTTAGTGATACAGTTAACAAGGTTGTTGTCGAATGCATAAAATGAAAAATGTAAACTTTTTAAAAAAGTTTTTCTTAAAGTAAAAAGTCATTGCTTTATGCCTTACCATAGGAATAATTTTATTTGAAAATAAGTTTATTCATATTTTAATTATTTTTTAATTTTTATTAATAGCCAAAGTTTAATTAACCTCCTATTGACGGGACATGCTGTTTCTAATGTATGGGATGGTGATAGAGAATGCTCAGGAATGAGTAAGTATATTTTTTTTGTGTGTTTATCTCTTTTATGAGTAATATTTCACTGGAATGGAGGTGGTTGTTAATCATCTGTTTAATGGCTCTGCATTACTTGGAGGTTAAGATAAGTGCTTTAGCCCTGGACAGGTAGTTCAGTTGGTTGGAGCATCATCCTGATACACTGAGCTGGTGTGTTCTGTCTCTGGTCAGGGCACATACAAGGATCTATCAATGAATGCATGGATAGGTGGAACAACAAATTAATGTCTGTCTGTCTGTCTCTCTCTCTCTCTCCCTTCCTCCCTTCCTCTGTCTCTCTAAAACCAATACAATTTTTTAAAAAAGTTTAAATAAGGGAAAGTGCTTTATAATAGAAGAATCCTTTACAGTTTTGAAGGCACTGTGACATGTAGAACATAGACTTTGGAGGTATACTTGGGTTCAAATCCCAAGTTACTGAATTTCTCAAGCCTTTAGTTTTCAGTAGTTTAAAATTAGGACTGTAGGGCTATCTTCTTTAGAAAAAGTAAAATATAATCTCTTTATATAAACCTCGTACATTTTTATGTAAGCGTATCTACAAGTCTGGGACACTTGGATTTTGCTTAAAATTTAGAATTACCATAAGTATTGTGATTTGAAATACTTACTTTGAAAATCTAGTGGTTATTCCTTTATTATTTTTAATATGCATAATTTCTCTGGAGATGCTGGGCAAATTTATTATCTGAGAATTTTAAACCAGTACCTTCTCTACCACTATTTCCATTTCTGGTCTCAATTATTTCTTTCGTATAGCTTGATATATCGCCAGGGACACTGACATGACATATATTTGGGCAATCCATTCAGCTAAGGATACCTGATATATAGCTCTGAATAAAATACCCTTCAGCTTATTACTGAGTCAGTCTAAATTCAAGCATTTACTTATTTACTTTATATTGAATAACTACTGTGTACCTTCTGTTGAAGTATGTAGTATAGGACAGGAAATTCCATATTCCCATAGTTCACAGGGAAATTTCTTTCTTCTGTATATAGATAGAACCGTCACCAAATAACAGAAGCAAATATGACTGAGAAAATAATAGTTAACTGATTTTTTTGTCCCATTTAAATAAGCGAGTCTAATCTTGTATTTGAATTCTGAAATTTTACAAGTATGTACAGTTAATTAACAGAAACATGAAAAGATATAACATTGAGGACAAAAATCAGTAAAAATTATATGAGAATTAAAATAACATCTCTTGAGAATATCATGCTAAGTGAAATAAAATCAGATGGAAAAAGTCAAGAGCCATATGATTTCACCCATGTGAGATATAAAACTGAAAGCAACAAATGAACAAGACAAACAAACAAAAAAACTCAAGACACAGACACAGTATGGAGGTTACCAGAGAGAACGGGGTTGGAAGGAGGTAGTAATGGGTAAAGGGGATCATTTTATGAGGCTAGCGTAACCCTGATACTAAAACCTGGCAAGGATAATGCTAAAAACAACTACAGGCCAATATCTCTGATGAATATGGATGCAAAAATCCTAAATTAGCAGATTGAATACAACAATACATTAAAAAAAATACAGCATGATCAAGTGGGGTGCATTCCAGGAGTGCAAGAATTGTTCAACATACACAAATTAATCAAAGTAATGTACCACGTTAACAAAACAAAGGATAAAGATCATATGATCTTTTCAATAGATGCAGAAAAAGTGTTTGTTAAGATACAACACCAATTTATGATTAAAACATTCAATAAAATGGGTATAGAAGGAAAGTACCTCGACATAATAAAGTCCATATATGATAAACCCTCAGCCAATATCATATTCAGTGATGAAATACTGAAAGCTTTTTCTCTAAAATCAGGAACAGGACAAGGATGCCTGCTCTCACACTCTTATTTAACATAGTTTTGGAAGTCCTAGCCAGAGCAATCAGGGAAGAGAGAGAAATTAAAAGCATCCAAATTAGGAAGGAAGAGGGTACAAGTGTCACTCTTTGCAGATGACATGATTCTGTTTACAGAAACCCCTAAAGACTCCTCTAGAAAAACTATTACAAACAACAAACAATTACAATGAAGTTGCAGGACACAAAATCAATGTACAAAAACCCATTGCTTTCCTACATACTAACAATGAAATTCAGAAAAAGAAATGAAAATAAAACAATTCCTTTTGCAATTGCAGCCAAAAGGGGGTCAACCATATGGTGATGGAGGAGATTTGATTTTGGGTGATGCATTATATGGATTATACTGCATTATATGGTTGATGTGTTATAGAATTGTATGCTTGAAACTTATATAATTCTATTAACCAATGTCATGCACAAATAATAAAATTTTAAAAAATTATATAACTTGAGAATGAAAAATTGCCTCAGCATTATCTAACCCTTCATTTTACTGTTTTAAGAAATTTAAGAACTACCCTCCCTCCCTACATTAGATAATATATGGAAATTATTCACTTCATGATGAGGTTAGAGTGAGAACCTGGTTTTACTAATTTCTGGTAAAGGTCAAAATTTAAACAGAATTCATAGACAAATCACTAAAGAAGTTACCTTGCTCAACTTTTGTAATTGAGCCCATCGTCGTCTTGAATCCTCAGTCTGACTAACAGCTGAAAGCATTTCATCCCGCCAGTTAAAGGGGTGTCAGTCTCTCTGGAGTCATACGCAGGTTTCTCTCTGTACTCACCCACGATCCCTTCTGCGCAGCTCCTCTTTCTTCTTCTCTCAATGGTTTCCAGCCACTGAGGTATCTTTAATGATATGAGATGACACAGAAGGAATATCTGGTTTCTGCTGAACTTTGGTTGAGGTCTCATCCTGCCTGGCCTCTGTTCTTACGACTTCTGTGTGTGTGGCTCAGGCTCAGAACTCTTTCCACCTGGACTTCTGTGCCTTGCTGTGGCTCTTGGTACTTGTTAGCAAGCTCCTCCTTTCTACGTGTTTTGCAGGTGCTCCCAGGCCTTTCCTGTTCTCAGAACCAGAATATTCTTTTTGTTGTTGTTGTTCACATACATTTGTCTCCACCTTCCCGCCACCACTTTCCCCTGCCCCCCTCCCCCATCTCCCTCCCTCAGTCCTTCCCCACTTTGGCTTTGTCCATGAGTCCTTGCTATATGTTCCTTGACTTTCCCCTTCCCTTCCTTTTCCCTGCCCACCCCTCCCTCCTTCCCTCTTGAATCTGTTGGTTTCTTTTTTCTTTCAATGTTGCTGGTCATATTTTCCTTGCATCTTTGTTTTGTTGGTTAGGTTCCGCTTATAGGTGAGATCATATGGTATTTGTCTTTCACCCCCTGGCTTATTTCGCTTAGCATAATGCTCTCCAGTTCCATCCATGCTGTCGCAAAGGGTAGTAGTTCTTTTTTTCTGTCTGCTGCATAGTATTCCATTGTGTAAATGTACCATAGTTTTTTGATCCAATCATCTACTGATGGGCATTTAGGTTGCTTCCAACACTTGGCTCTTGTAAATTGTGCTGCTATGAACATTGAGGTGCATAGGTTCTTTTGAATTGGCATTTTGGGGTTCTTAGGGTATAGTCCCAGCAGGGGAATCACTGGATCCAAAGGCAGCCTGAACCAGAGTATTCTTGATGTCTCCCAAGGTGGTTCCTCACCCAGCCGCCCACAGGGTTTTTTTTTTCTTGCCATGTACTATATTTACAGAATATTAGTCAATTATCTAAGTTTTGGTTCTTGATATATACAATTTCATCATTTTCTCTTTCTTAAAATAGTAGTTTTCAAAACTATTGTCTTGCCATGGATTTGTTTTCAGAATAGTTTAAATATCAGAACTAAGCAATGACTTTGAAATAATTATTTTGGAAAAGAAGATAACCAGGGTATATTTCTTGCATTTTCCCTCAAGCATTAGGAATGTTGACTTGAATTTGACTTTGTTTTCAGTCACCAAACTTAAAATAAAAATGTATACATTCATTCAGCATTTATTGGATGTTTTTCTGCTCTTACATTATTGGAGGAGGCTATAGTACGTGTAATATACAAAGAAAATTAAATATAATTAAGGTTATAATCTTTAGGCAAGCCACTTCTCATGGTTTTAGTTTCCTTATTCATAAAATATGGAGATTATACCTTCTTCAAGGGCTGTTGTAAAGATTAAGATCAAATTTCCAAAATGCCTTGACTTGTAAGAACTTGGCTTTCCCTCAAAAGACTAGTTTGGGGAAACAAGAACATGTCCAAAAATAACTACAGTGCAAGGTAAAAATGAAACATGTTGAAATAAATTATTATAGGAAGGATAAAACTTTCCCTACTGTGTTTATGTTGGGGTAAAGGGAGAGGTTTTATGTAGGAGTTAACATTTTAATGGGGCCAGATAGAATGAGTGAGAGGGTATTTTGGGGAAAAACACAGGTTATGTTTAGGGACAAGGAGGCAGATCAGCCTGATTGGAACAGTGGTTCTTAATCCAGACAACATTATCATTTGGGAAGCTTAAAGATATGTCAGTACTCAGGCCCCAGCTGAGAATGAATGAATGAATGAATGAACGAACGAACAAACGAACGAACGAACGGGAGAAAAAGAGATGTTTCGAGCTGGTGGAGCGTAGGCATGATAATTTTTAAATGACCACTACCTAGAAAATTGTGATGTATAGTCAGGTTTGGGAACCAATGGATAAGAGCATTGGATCTGTGAAAGAGACTAGTAAGAGGAAACAATGTAAATGCAGGGTTGGGTAAGAACACAGAGGATTTTAATTCTTAGAAGTTCTAAACTTTAGTTGGCAAGCGCTAGAAAGATTCATTGGAGGCATTTCAAAAGAGCAATAACATAAGACTTATAAAATAACAATCTGTTAGTTTGTAGAATGTATTGAATGAGATGACATGTCAAAAACACATAGTCTAGACAGGTAAGAGGTAATGAGGTGAAAATATGCATGGCAAAGAAAGAAAAAAAGAGATCACTTTGTGTGCTAAGCAGTGTGTTTTGATATATGTCTTTCTAA